ATGACTGCATCTATAAAGCCTATAGTGGTTCCAGAAGGGGCTGTGTGAATGAAATCTGATAAACTGCCTCAGGTGGTAACTTGAGACATCAGTTGGGGCTGAAGTTTGGAAACTAAAAAACAAAAACAAACTGGGCATGTGGCAAAAGAAAGCAGCGAGCTAGCAGCTCGAGGCTACATCACCCACTACTAGTGTAACACAGTTGAATCTTTACTTCGGAGCTGTGTTGTCTGGTCAGTAACGTAAGCATGAGGTTTTGAAAATAAAGAAAAATGTGTTAAATAAAGGAGATAAAATCAATGCAGCAGAACCAGAAGTTTTGATGATTTTTTAAAAACTGGCCCTCAAGAGTCTGACAGTGTTATAGAAACACAATGTTGAATTGGTGGAGGAGTTTTTTTAAAGGGATCCCCATCAGTGTCCGCTAATTATGGTTTAAACATACATAACTTTTTTTTTTTAATAAAACAGTATTTAAAGCATATTGATATCAACCTCAAAAAGGCAGTAGATTTAATTCAATCATTAAGCCCTATGTTGACGAGACTTTTACCAAAATATACAGTAATACTATATATAGTGATATTGCAGGTATTATGCTGTGTTCAAACATACTGTATCATGATGAAGATACCGTCCAATGAGAATGATGCATAGCCTAGAATAATGACACACTATATGGGTCACAGTCATTTTGAATAAATACACAAAATATGTCAACGTTGAGTTCAGCAGCAGCAGAAGTTTAGAATTCAAAGTGCCCTGTCGCTCTTAGACTGTCAAAGACACAATACTGACAATAAAAGGTAGACAAGACAGAATATTCTTATGACTGGCAGGTTTGTGAAAGATTGAATCATACTGTAGGTTCAGTGCAATGGTTTTCCCTTGAGTACTATAGCGGAGAAGTACTGTAGATTCTGTACCACTTGTCTCACCCCACCAGGCAGCTTCATTGTCAAACGGTCCTGTTGTTTGTTACATTAATATGAGAAAAAGGCTTCAATCTCCCACAGAGAGAAACTGTTTTGTTACATGATATCCCTGAACGGCTGGTGCTGTTTGAGCCTCAGCACACCATTTAGGAAGGTCAGTCATCTCAACAGTTCTGCTTCAATTGCAACCACAGGACCACCAGCATCTACTGACTTTACACCAGTTCTGTTATATTGCAGAAATGCAACAAATCTTCACGTCCACATCTCGTAATGTAGTTATTAGGGAAACGAAGGTTTGAAAATGTGTCCAGCAACACATTTTATTACCTAATTAAATATCCCAAAACGCTGAACCCCACCCTGTCTCCCCACAGACTAGTCTGTTGTGATACAGTTCATCTGATAGCTCTTGTTGCACTGTAACGTAAGTTTCGGTGTAGAGAAGTAATTTTTTTCATATGGTCATGTATAGCTTTCATTTTCTCCGTCAAGAACTGGAACAGCATGTGTTGGTGGTGGAATGTTAATACTATTCACTAACACAGGGGCCTTTCAAAGCTTTTCTAAACAACTGATGCACAGGTGAGCTTGGTGTATTCAGTCACTAAAGAAGTAGGTTCGAAAACTTCCATCAAATCGTAATCCGTGGCACAAATCGTCTTTTTGTCCCACAGCCACCCAGAAGGACTGTTGGGACACTTACCAGTCACTCATCGCTTGTTGTGACAGTTTTCCTCTTGTATTTTAATTAGCAAATGAAATATCAAGTCTCATGGTATAGTATACAGCCCCTATGGATGGTGCATTCTATGCAAATACAGTACATGACCTCTGTTAATTTCTTTCACCAACTCCTACTTTAATTAGGACTTAAAATTTTTTTGTAGAATAATTAGCTTCACTGCTGAATAATCTGCCTTTTATTTAGACTTAGATATATAAATATAGTTTTTTTTTTCATGTTCTTAGCTGGGTAAACATCAGAGAAGTTAAATTGGGGGAGTACTAAGGCCAAAGCCATGCAAATGCTAATGCCACATGGGCTGGAATCTGTGTTTTCACTTCCTGTTGTCAAAATCTTACAGGAATGTTCAATAAACATGCTAGCTGAGTTTATGTTCTAATTACAAGTCCTGGTTCAAAACCGGGTAGCAATGAAACCAACTTTAAAACAATGCAACAAGGCTAAATGTGCTACTGAAACTGCATCATTATTTATTCCACCCTGGTGAGAATAAAGTTCTGGCCCAGGAAAGTGTTCAGGACACTGGGAAACCCCACTGCTCATGGCCATTAAAACAGCTTCTTCTGATGCTGCGCAGCTGAACCAAGACAGAGCTGCTGGATTCCTCTGGGTGGTCGACTGCCTTCTTATGAAACTGATAAAAAATTCATCTTGCCCGGTTCTGCTTTATCTTCAGCTCCCTGCAAAGCTTCATTTAATCTGCTTTAAAAGCTCCACCTCGATCCGGTTCACAGTTGAGAAGCTACAGAAGCTGGCTCCTGCTATGCATTTGTATGAATTTCTCATACAATTACATTAAGATTTACAATACTGTAAATGTATTTTCCTGAGAGATAACCCATAGAGAATCAGACAAGATCAGCATGACAAACAACAGGTTTGTTTTTCAAGGCCAAAGGCTACAGTATCATGACAAACACATTTATGCACCTTTAGAATGACCAGCAGAGAGGAGAGAGTTAACATGGGTGGAAACTAGCATCAAGTGAGCTTTTCGTTCATGGAGAGGGATTAGACGCCTCTCACTGGAAACAGAGGCTGGATTCAATCCAACCCTTCTCTTCTTGCTGCTTTTCTTTCTTTCACTTCTCTTATTATCCTCCTCTCTCACCCCTCCATCGTTGATACTTCTCTGTCCTTTATTTCTCCTTCCTCTCTTATATTCCTCTATCCTCCATTGCTTCCTTTATTCCTTTATGCACCTCTTAGCTGAATATCCCCGTGATCAATTCGTTAATTCATTTTTCAGAAATTGAACATTTTGGTTGTACAAATATTTTTCTAAGAGGCACTTTTTTCAGTGGCAAAGTGAGCACAATGTGCTTTTTTCATTCACTAAATTCTCAGTTTATCATACAAATACAATGTGATCTGCTGTATAGCCTTTTCTTTCCTTTTACTTTGGTAAAGATCTTGTTTGTCCTGATTACAGTTTGCATTCTGTGAGGATAAAAGGGCTTAAAACACACCTTCACACAATGTCAGGGGCTGCTCCGAAGCACTCACAAAGGTCACCTAGAACAGGACAAGTTGATACCTGGGCTCAGCTCACTGTACTGTTATTTGTCTGTGGTAGGCTGGATCATTTTACATCTCAACCCAAAACTCACTTACGCACTTACATTAATTACTGTTGGGCTGCCCTTAAACAATGCATTTACCGTATGCCACACCTGTTCAAGATCTGCTACCAATACAATCCCTATACAAATCAGTATTCCCTGAGGAGTATGCTCTCTGTTAAATAATCCTGCAGTAATACACGTTTAAATAAAGGCAATTAGACATGGTCACTCTTCTCCTAAACAACTAGCACCCTCTTAATAATGCAAATCTCACACTTTGGATAACAGACAGGCCTCATTAGTCTGTTCTGTTCTACTGTAGGTTGTCTTCTTGTCTGCAGGTCTTCTGTAGGATATACTCTTTCTTCAGAAAAAAGAAACACCGCATTGCGTAAGAAGAAAAAGCCCCTGTGTCTTCTGCATCTTATTTTTGGAAACCTAATGCCTCTGAGAAAACTCCTCTATCATTATCATATGATCAGTCACAGCTCCAGGTGTAAAAATGAGAAAGACCAGTGACATACAGCATCTAATGCTGTACGAGTTGCTTTGTAATGTCTCTGCGATTTCCCTTTTGTTTTTTTAAATGTACTTTTTGATTGAATATGATTGAACTGCTTACCAATGACTTTAAACCAATAGGACAGTTAGAATTTCAGTAACTACTCTTTATGAACAATTATTATTTGTTCTTAATTTGTTTGTGTGTTGGCTACGATACACAGTACAATGCAAACCGTGTTGGCATGTCAATGCATATCACTATCTCACCTCGTTAGTTACCAGATCCTGCCCTCACAGTGGTTTCTTACATCACATACAGGTCAAATGGTCTGAACTTCAAAAAGAAATTCACAGACAGAAATCAGCCTTTAAAGGGCTTTCCACACTGTCAGCCAGATGCAGCCTTATTATTGTTATTAGGTGCTCTTAGTAGCTTATAAAATTGTTTATCTCACAAAGCTGTGAGTACACAGCCTTGGCCCATTTCTTTAATTAAACAATTTATTACAAGTGGCTGCCATGTGTTTGGTCAGATATTTCAATTGTTAGAGTTTGGCAACTGTCTAAAACACATGTATGAGGCAAAATTACTTTCACTTCCAGAATCCCAGTTTCTCAAAATAGAGCTCGTCTGGAGGCTCGGGAAGCCAAAAGCAGCCAGGATATCATCCCCATCAACATGGTGTCACACCGCAGAGGAATAATATAAGAGCTGCTCACACTGTCAGACTTGCCTCAGTCTAAACCCAGAGGGCAGAGATGGGGATGAAGAACACTGCAGTGTCAGTGTGGCACTGGAGTTCCTGACACTTGTCAAAATGCCAACTTGCTGCTTCAGCTTGACAGAAATAATTTATCACAATACATATATTATGCAGTTTGATGCTGTGGCTGAGGAAAGTTCTAAACCTAGTCAATAAAATAGCACATCAGGAAAATCACAACTACTGTATAATTCACTTCACTCACTGTAATGTCAGTAGAGGCACTAACCTAATATACTGTGATGATTAAAAAATAAATAAATAAATAAATAAAATAAAATCTTAGCATGTTGCTTGGTAGATCTGGTATACATGTGCATGAATGGGCAAAGCATGACAACAACACAACAACCCTGACCTTAGAGGGAGATCTGTTTGGTACAACATAACTGCTGAATGAAGGAATCCACCGTGCAAATTAGTATCATTGGAAAGAAATGACAATGGATCTCTTCATGTGTTTGTTTTCTTTGTGGTGTTGCAGAGCTTATTGTCAAACTGGCAAAGGACAGGTTTGGAGCCATTCAGACAGAATATCAAAAGGTAAGTGTGTGTGTGTGTGTGGGTGGGTGTGGGTGGCGAGTGTATTAAAATGATTTTTGCTGTGCCTATTCATCCACCATTACGGTACTACATCCGTGCAAATTTTGTCACCCAGGTCATAGTATGCTGAAAAAACGTAGAAGGCATCAGGACACAGTTTTAGGTAGAAGACGTTTCACCTCTCATCCATGAGGCTTCATCAGTTCAAACTACATCCAGATGCCTTCTAAGTTTTTCGGCATTACTGTACTACATTTTTCTGATTGGATGTAGCTGTTTATGATAGAAATTAGCCTCAGAGATACTGTGTACTCCATGACAATAGCTTTTACAAGCCAAGGTGAGGTTATATTTTTACTGGCACCCCAGAATGAAAAGTGGTCATTGCTTCTGGCACAACCTTTTGTCTGTGGTGTATTGTTACAATATGCAGCTATAAGGATATGCATTCCAGTTTCAATTTTTTTTTCTCTTTTGTTGTTCTATTTCATCTACATTTTTGTTTTGTGGCTTTGCTCTTTCTTTGATGCTGCTTTGCCTTTTGTCTTCTGCATGCCCTCTTCATCTGATCAACTCTGATCTGGCCTCTCAGCCAGAGAACATAGTGCTGAGTCTTCAGGTAAAGTGTGCACACTGGATTTCCAATCCAACTCATCCCTGCTGTCCTCCTGCTCCACTGTCCCCAGTCACAATGGGGCTGCACAATTCTAGTTCAAATTCTGCTTTTTTAAACACATTTGTGGTTATATTTTTATTTTTGGTTTATGCATGATTAGTTGTGCAGCCCTACAGCTTTCATCCAGCCACCACATCCACCTCACAACCACCTTGGAATGCACCCTTTAGTTTGGTCAAAACTGTAGCTGTCATTTGAGACATGTTCTCATTCAGAGCTTTTCATGCTTCATGGAGGAGCAACAATGCTGACTGCATCATGGTTTTGTACTAGTTCCCTCTCTTTTCCTACTTGGCAACCGAGGACAGGTGGCCCTATTAGGTGGACACCATGTAAACACACACCAGCACATTCATGACAGAAACACACAAACATGACAGAATGAATAAACTGCTGGCCAACCAACTAATTTGCTTTTCAGCAGTATTTCCTCTGACATCCACCCAAACCACGCCAAGTTACACACGTCCACATACATACTTAATCTTTTTAGATGCTGATGTGTGCAGAACACACTGACCTGGACCATTGATGCACAGTATAAAGCACTGCTACTGCTTCACGAGGCTTCATAAAAACATCTGTGAAACCGCAAAACAAAACCTCTCCATGTATATCACACTGGCCCCTTAGAAGGAACAAGAGGGAGATAATCAGTTTTCCAATTCCTCTTGAAATATGTGATATTATATTCATTAATTTTAAGGGTGCATTCAGCCAACCAATGGCAGTAAAAGCAAGACCAAACATTTCTTTGAAAATCTGAGAAAGAAGATGTTAACATGTGTCAGTATAGCTCAAAGGAAATACTGTAAGTTACCCACTTTCAATCATACTGTGAAGGTTTTGTAAAACAAACCACCAAATATCCTTCTAATATAAAAGGTTAGCTAATCAGTGAAATGTCTTGGTGCATTCTTAGTCTAAATGAAAACCTGGGTTTACATAGTCCAGCTGTGGTGGAAGGCTTTACTGGCATATGGACAGAGCAACAGGTTACACTATGCAAAGAAATTCCTAGTTTGCAGTCTCTCTCTCTCTCTACATTTTTGCTATATGAAAAGGGAAATAAAAGTATATGCAATGTGGCCACTCCCAAACAAATTTACTATCAAGCAACAGGATAAGGGCCAGAATAATAAATAAATTTAGAAGCACCAAAAAAACCCACAATGAGCATGATGTTAATTTGTTCATGAAAGCTCCTATAAAGCATTGTCAGATATTCACTTAGAGTGATTGAGCAGTTTAGGTTAACAGCAGTCCTCGTGGCCACTGCTGGCATTGAATCTGATTAAAGTTGTAGAAGTGCCTGTCTTCATCATTAAGACATGCTGCCACCTCATCATCCAGTTTGTTCTTATTGGAAGGTCACCTTCTTCTTTTGGGCACTTGCCAAGACAAAGATATAGTACAAAAATAGTCTGAGCTGAACATTTTTGACCTTTTCTGTGAATAACAAGCAAAGCCCTGAAGCAGAATGACAATGCAAGCGTTCAGATTTGCACAATCTCCTCGACAACTGGGTTGACATTGGTGCTTTTGGATGACAAGGACACACATATACTCACACATGCTAAATGTCTCTTTTTTCCATTGCCCTTCTGCATCTTCACAGTTTTTTGGTTCCTTGTTTTCTCTCTCCATTTCCACTGACCATAAAATTCTTTAAGGCCAGAAAGGGTGGGACTGATGGCCATTTTCTGTCTGCATCTTTAAACTACCTCGACACAGCTAGAAGCCTCACTCATCCACACACTAGCTTGCTAAGGGAATTTTCTAAGTTTGCACAGAGATTTTCATATGAACCAAAGAAGAATACTCCTCTCAGATGCATTCAGAAGACATTTCTTTTTACCCTGCATGTTGAAAAGCAAAAGCTGCAGGTCCCTGGAGAAGGCAGGGGGCACTGACTTAGGAGGGCAATTAAGAATAGTGCAGATCAGCTGGGAGAGCAGTTTGTTCATTGAGGAGCAGTGATAGCAGTGTTGCTTTGATCCATTCTGAACGAGAAGCTATTGGAATATCAATGAGGCACGATACATACAGTGTGGAAATTATCAATACCCTATTCACCTCTGCCAATTACCAAAGCATGTGCTGAGTGTAGTTTAGACAGGAGCAGTAAGAGTATGAGTGCTGGGGTGCATGACAAGAAGAGCTGGAAGAACTACTGAGAACCTGCTAATAACAGCTCTTTAACTCTGTCAATATACCAGAAGGAATTTGTATGAAATTGTGTTGAGTCTTCTTGAATTTTTCTAATATTCAATCAATGTCGAAGACTACTGAGGCTTTGCGATGAGGAATGTGCAGATGTCATAGCTGAATATCCACAGCTGAAGGAGAATCCCTGTTCAGTACAGTACAACAGCACAACCCAGCTGTCTCTGACGGATAGGTATCGAACAGTATGAAACAGTCAGCATTCTTCAGCTCACTCCTGTGTTAAGGGGCATGAGTCCATGCATTTTATTCTTACTGGTCTTCATCCCTAATTTACTAGCTCTGACCTCACTACACTCCTACTAACTGTTTAACCCTAACAACTGCCCTCTAATCTAACTAATTTCTGCAGATACTGGATATTTGCAACTTATACCAAAGTAAATGTGACCTAATATAACACAGTTTTACAAGTGAAACTAACTTGACAACTATGAATTTTATTGTTTATCCAGTTAGGTTTAGAAGACTGGGTGGTAATATACAATTATTTTCCAGTTCCAGATTTAGGGCTGTTATGTGACATTGCATCAATTTTCATTGGGTAGCTGTATATTTGGCACTTTGTCAAGAATCATGTAAATTCTTCTATTTCACCTATACTCAGCTGGAACTCAAAGCTTAAATCCTATTTTGAACCAAGTGAAAAAAATTCTGCCACAGCCAAGAGATAATTTCACCCATTTCATGGTTTCTCAAACTTCTCTGACCCTCTCAACTGAATTAGATAACCAGAAAAGGTTGAGTGATGCACCTAATTTTTGCAAAACTGAATGAGACTTTCTGCAAAGAAATCATTAGAAAGGCTGGACTTCATTAAAACAAGTCCAATTATCACTCCCCAGGGACTGATTTGTCTTCTTATTTAAAATGAATCTGGATTTTAGGAGTCAATACAGGTTTAATGTGCTTTGTGGGACTGGATTTTTCTGCAGTGCACCAACTGCCATGTAGTCCATTCCTATTGAAGCAGGTTTTTCATTACAAATGCTGTTTCTCCCTCATTAGAGAGGCAAAGTGTGCACCACAGTGCTATAAGACTCCTTTGAGTATTTCCCCCATCATCATTCATGTTTTGCTATCCTCTCAGTGCATATTGGAAATTTAGCAACAACCTGTTTACATTACAAGAGCTGTTTACATTAAATATCAATTAGCTTGTGGTGTAATATGTGAGAAGTACTGTCTCCCAGATTTTACAAGGAGTCTCTTGGTAATTTCATTGCGTAATAATGTAGTTAAGAAGTCAATTGTTGAATTGGCTTGTGGTATTTACACGTTATGCAATGTGTGTATTGTTTATCCACTAATCCTTCTTGGATATTTATAGATCTGCTGCTCACTGTATCCTCTGCCTCCTTGTGTATGTCCTCCCTTCTTCTCCTGTACACAGGTGTTAATCTGTCCTTTCTTCTCTCCTTCGCTCCCCAACTCATCTACTCTCATATCATGATCCAATCCTGTTCTCTCTGAAACACTGCCACCTCATTTTCCATCTTACATCTTCCCCTCTTTTTCGTGTTTCACCCCTGATGCCCCCTTTCTCTCTTCATCAAATTTCAATGTTCACCTCCTTTGTCCCTTATGTTTCCTGAACAACTGGGCTCTCGTTCTCATCTCATTTTTCCATTTATTCCTCCCCTGTTGATCCCAGGCAATCTACTATGAGATAGGCTTCCTAGTATGTGCAGCCATGGGCCTGCTCTTTGCTGTTCTGATGCCGATAGTTGGCCTCTTCTTCTGCATGTGCCGCTGCTGTGACAACTGCGGTGGTGAGATGCACCAACGCCAAAAGAAGAACGCAGACTGCCAGCGTGGCCTGCTGGGAACGCTGCTTTTTTCCACCTCACTGGTCATCACGTGAGTGTGACGCATGCATAGACACGACTCACATAAGCAGAATACATGGAAATCAGTTTGTAAGCAGGTGTGTTTTTTTGGTGCAAACATGCCTACGGTGTGTGTGCACTTGTATAGGCATGCACACAGACACTGGGGTCATATGCAGGCTACATCTTTTCCAGTGTTGCACTCATGCACAAATGCAAACACATTCAGGCAAATGCACTAAAACACACATACTCCTGTGTCCTTTTCATACACATTCACTCACACAAATGCTGGTCATCAGCCTTCCACATCCCAGTGCTGTCTGCTATATATAGTGTGTTCAATCTAAGCATTGTTCATGATAATCTATAAGGAATGCACATGAATGCTTTTATTTACTGCAGCGTTTTCATAACTATTATCACTATCTGGTACACTTACAAATCAAAGATGACAGACAGCTCACAAATGCACAGTATGCCTCCTAATTTCATTACATTTATTCTACTGTATAGGACTAGTAAGTATCATGTGCTTCAAAGGGCTGGAAACTTCATCTTCTGCACTTGAGTGCTACAATTTCATTTTAACTTTATTATTCTTCATGGATTTTTACCTGCTGCATCTGCCTTCCGGGTTTATTGTATTACTTATCCAACTGTCATTACAAATGCACATTTTAAGCATCTGGGCAATGATTTTATCTAGTGGGAAATGCAATGAGAATAGCTTCAGAATATTAAACTGCACCTACAGCTATTTCTCCGCTTTCTTCTCATTTACAATCACATCACTGGATCCAACTCCATCGCTGACAGTTCTGATACCACGAATTTGTTACATAGTGCTTGTAGCTAATTTCAACTTAGCCCTTGTTTTTTCATTATACCAAGTGATCTGTACTGTTATCAGTCACTCAAGTATCAAACTACTTCAGACTTGATCAACAGCCATCTCAAACATAGCAGTATATACAGCATACAGTGAAAGACAGTACCAGAGCATCTTCAGAGCAGCCAAAAAGGACCGGTTTATAAACTATCTGTAAATTTATGTCATAAATGAAGGGAGCCCATATTATTTAATCAAAGGTTGACAAGTTAAAAAGAAGAGGAGAAGGTTTATTATTGATATATACTGTATATGCTACAGAATACTTCTCTGGCATCTATTCTTATTATTGAAGAGCTACAACCTGGAAAGGGAGAAATGTTAATAAAACAAATGACGAGATTCTAGCTCAAACGGCAGAAGATGATGGAAAATACTAGTATACACTAAAACAGGCTGAAAATAGGTAGAAGTAAAGCTGTGAGTGTGTGTTTCTTCTATATGAGCCCATTATTTCTGTCTGTCCTGCATCTTGCTGAAACCCATCTCTCCGAAAATGGGCCGTTGCGAAACTCAATCCACTCTGTTTTACAGTAGCTGGTGGCGATGTAGCCACAGTAACAAAAGGCTTGAGAGCCACATTTGCGTGCTAGACTGAAGGGATCCATGAGGGAACTAAGTGTGATGTTCTTTGACTTCCTGTCTTCTTGGAACAAAGCCCAGTTATTAGAAATTCCACAGCAATGTCCTAGCAGCACATACACAAGGGTCTGAAAGCATCCTCAGAGCTCTTATTAAATCCCCCTAGCTACCAAACAAAGATGCTGCTGAGGCTCTGATGAAGCAATAACAGGCAGGGGAGGGATGAGTACCAAGCTCTGCCCAGACTGCTTCTTACCACAACTAGAAAGCTACTAGCCAGGCGCAGAGGAGTGGGCAGGGGTGCGTTGTATTTTCCAACTGGTGTTAAAATCAGATCACAAGGGGTAAAACACACCCAGGTAAGGTTGTAGACAATAAAATGGCTGGAGTCAGAAGCCAGTGGATATGAAACAAACTACAGATGCAGCCATCTTAAATTGCTGGCTGGGCTGTGGCGAAAACTGGCCCAATCTGTAACGGGCCTGCGCACAAGCCATGCTCTTCCCCCACGATGACACAGAGGTCGCATTACCGCCTTGTTAATGCCCCCAAGTACCAAATTTTATTATCCCAACTTAGAGCATCCCATTTTGCAGGACATACACTTTACTGCATCTCTACTGATGCAGAGTTCAGTTCCGAGTACATTCTACATCAGGCTCAGCTTTGTTGTGATAAATATGTGAAGATTTTGCTGAATCAATCAGCACATTTACATAAACATTAATAATTTCATTAGCATCAGATTAAAGCAATCCTCTGATTAGTGCAGCTGCTTTATTAACACTTTCACCAGGTTAAATTAGGTGAATGAAGATGGAGATCTAAATAAGCAGAAACTGATTAACAGACCTGCTTTAATTGCTAATCCTCAAATTACTCTAGCATGTAAATACATTAGACTGCTTTCTTTCAGAGCTTTGAACTAATGTTATCACAAGATTCTTCAGCTAGTGCAGTTTGAGATGGTGGTCTTTGGCTCGTTCTCAGTGGGGTGGTACTTTTGGTGGAAAGGGTTTGTAGCATTTCGCATCTTTGGCGACACAGGTTACCTGTATATTCTGCAGAGACATCACTCTGCTGTTCATCTACCATGTGTGAGCATGTACTGTATGTCATGTTGGGAGCTATTTCAGTCTCCACTAATCAGCTCTGATTCCACAAAATCCCTGCATGGATTTATAATAATCAAGTGTGACAGAGAGAAGATCCCTTCCTCTGTTCTGGCCAAGTGGAAGACCCCTGCCTCATGAAGTTACCCAGCATGCATTTCAGCGGTCTATTCCAGTTAATGTGTGTCCAGCACCATTAACACAAAAGGTCCCATCATTATAGGCTTATTAATACATGCAAATCATATGGGGCAAAATTAATGATAATATACTCTAGGTGCAAGAGGATTTAGCATTCAGCACCCTGTACTTTAAATCTCAGTCTGCACTCTAGATTTGAGGACTTAATAAATTATCTGCAAGGGGGTCATCTTATTTGGATACAATAAAAAAAAACCATCGCTGACACAGCTGTGGCTGACATCATCTCTAATTCTCAAAATTCAGTGCTCATTATTTCACTAGCTTTCAAATAAAGGCAAAAGTGGCAAAACATTTTTTAAAAGACTGCAAATGAAAAAAAAATACAATTATAGTATTAAAAACATTGTAACTTAATTTTAATAACTGTCTCCATAATATGTTATAGCCTCTCCAAATTCCAAGATGTCCTAAAAGCAGAAATACACATTGTGTAATCATATCTGGAAGTCACCACCATACTACCCTACTGAGTGACCAAAACTTAGGCTGTGGTGTATTCCAGTGGGACAAGAAGAACAAGGAAAACACAACAAAATGGCAAAGAGCTATTTTGTAATCAACTGCTTAAACAATATCAGGCTTTAGACTGGAGCTCACAAAAAGGCAAAGAGAAGATAAACTACAGTATATGTGCCATACATTTTAAGGTTCTGTGTAATATTTTCTGTCACAAAATCAAAACATAATGTCTTTTGAGGGCTAACAAATTATGTCTTGAAACAGGACCAGGCATATATATATATATATGCCTTCAGGCAGTGTAATACTATAAGTAAATATTAATGTTGACCACAATTCAAATACCACAACCTATAGACCATATGGCTCATTTCTGATTTGCTCTTGATTGGCCCTTTGTTATCCTCTCAGTATTGCTGTACCCTGGGACATGGTGTCACATGGAACTTCTATAGAACCATCCCTTATCTATACCGCTTATCCTGTAGAGGGTCGCGGGGGAGCTGGAGCCAACTCCAGCTGACATGGGGCAAGAGGCAGGGCACACCCTAGACAGGCTGCAGAATGTGACGAGCAATATCAGCACCTCACTACAGAAACAAAACGTTAATTACTGGTCCACTAAAGCATTGAGCACTAAAGTGACAGCACCCGGAGCTCAGCAGCAACAACCTACAGACACAGAAGTACAATGACAAAAACCCTTTCTCGTGTATATACACTTGATTTTTCATAAGATCAGGTCAGCATTAGTTTAAGTAAATTAGTGTTTTTATACAAACCTGGCGCACAGACTTTGGAATCTTTTACTTTTACCTATGTGTACTTTTAGATTAAACAAAGCCCTTAATAAGTAAAAGTAATGCCTCACTGACATTTAACACATTTTTGAAACATGGTTTGGATTATAGCTCTGAGCAAATACTAATAACTGTGGTGAAACCTCTGCTCACACAAAAGCAGTATATGAATATAATTTCTCTCTAACACGCACAAAAACAAGCACATATGCAAGTAGTCACATGGAGAGGCATAAAACAAAAACACACACTCATACACAAACTCAGTGAACAGCCTCCCCTGGGGAGTCATCACATAAAGGGTTATTTTTAAGGGATTCATCAACAGTGTGATGAGTATTACCATCACCCTGTCATAAAAGAAGCCACAATGACTCTGATGATGTCACTTGCTGACTAAATGTCAGGCTACTGGGAGATCCTCACGGGGAATTCAACTCCAGTGCCAGAGCCAAGTTTCGGAGCATTTAGAGCCAGTTAAATATAAAATGAAACATTTCTCAAGTGCCTGTGGGGAAAACAGGCAGCTGCAGCAAGGTAAGAGAACTCAGCAGGGGAAAGGCAATCATGTACAAAAACACAATTTGATTATTTAAATAAAATAAATAAATAAAAAGCAAAAACATAAAAGACCAATGTTCCTAATGTGTGTTGTAGGCATTTTCATCAACTTTTATAATCAATGACACCTGGAAGCACAAAAAGCACAGAAAGAGAATTTATACAATTTTGCTCAATTACTGATCATCACAGCTCCTGAACTAAACAGATCGAGTTGAAATGTCTTTTATACTGTATATCTAAAAATACTACAAGAAGATACTGAGACCTAGTTTTTCTGCCAATTAAATCTACCATGGTATTAAAACCATTTTTTAAACATTTGCATGGCACCAAACGTAGCTTTATAACAACTGTATTTCCAGACTGCTAGCATTAGCAAACAAGCCTCATGTGGTAACATCGGTTCTAACCCCAACAG